TTAATAGAACACCATTATGGACCTGAAAAAATTACTCCTAATATCCATTTAAGTTTGCATTTATGTGAAAATTGTATAGATTATAGACCATTATATTTATTTTGGTGTTTTTCTTTTGAACATATAAATAGAATCTTAGGTAAATATCAGGCTATTATTATATATACATTATTGTGTAAAAATATTAACTGATATATATAATTTATATTTTATAGGCTCATATAAGACCAGCTATAGGAATATAGAACCAGAACTTTTGAGAATTATTCTCACGAATAATTCTTTGGATAAAGTTATATCAAATATCAAAAAAAATATCAAATTATCCGATTCTCTAACAATATTAAAAGGAAGAATATTAGGTAATAGAATAGATATTTCAGATGAATTTGAAACACAAGATCTTCATCAATTTTATAAATTAAGAAATATTATTGATCAAGGAGAATCTTTTGGCTACGAACCATTTCCTGATATATTTCTTGGTCCAAAATCAGAAAATGCCATTTTACAAAATGATATTTTAGACCTTTTAGTTGAATTTTATAACAATAGAGTAACAGGTTATCAATTTACTACTCTAGAAGATATATCGGGAATTGATCAAATATCTGTATTTTCCAAAATAATTTAATATGGCCAATTAAAATTGGGGTCAGAAATTTTTGAATCTACATTCTCGGCTCGCTATATCAAATCCTCAAAAATTCTAGCAAGATTTGTTGTTCAAGAAGATGAATCAGTAGATTCATATCCTAGTCAAATTCAATTCTATTTCAACCACACTATCTATCTTTCTTCTGGTGAACTAACATATCACCTTGCATTTGTAAGGTGGTATAAACCTGTTAAAAATTATGAAATCAGGTTTCAGATAAAAATTAAAGGGGATGATTCTAGTTGTAATGTAGAATTATGAAATCAAGAACTTTATGAATTAAGCAGGGACTGCATAATTCCTATACATCAAATCTATTCACAGTTTGTAGTAGGTACATATACCGATACTGAAAATGATCCAAAAACCTATATGGCCGTAATTCCTTTACATAAAAAGTACAATTTATAAATACCAATATTTAAAGTAGCATTTTTATTTATATATCAGTATATATTATCATATTCATATCAGTTGATAGTTTTTTTATTTATATAAATGCTAAATATATTTATTTGATTTGGTATTAATATTATAATTTTTCGTATTTTATTTATATTTAAATTAAATTATTTTATAACTATAATCTGGTGCTTGTCAACCTTATCTGTTGTAATGCTCACTTTACCGATAATCATTTCATCTTATAGGGTTAGTTAGCAATTAATTAGTTGTGTGAATAAGCTGTTTGTAAATGACTAAGTAAGTAGGGCAGAACTATAAATTCAGGTATTATTATTAGAAGCAATTCTGATACTGAAAATTTTTTTAATAAAATCTCCCGATGGCTAAAACAACATATCCCTGTTATCCAAAATACTGTTTTTTGTTTTTTTTGATTTATTTAAATTAACAATAATATATATTAACTATTGTTCTTTGACCTCATTAATCATATATCATGAATAGCACTTTGGATGACCGGAATTTACTATATGTTGTTTTAGTCCACTCCTGATATTAATGTATAAAAATAATGACAAGTAAAAAATATGTAATTTCTCAATAAATATATCATGACAAACTCTTATATTACAGATATTGACGTTGCTAAATTCATATAATCAGGTTTTTTTAATTAAAATTCTTGATATTTAATATCAGAATTTTATCTAAAAATTCCTGATATCATTATATTATATTTAAATCATGTAACTAAATTTAATCGTAATAATATCAGAAATTTTTTATCGAAAATTCCCAATATTAGAGTATAACTAATGCTATATATTAATATCAGGATTTTTTCTTGATAAAAAAATTTTTGATATTACTTGTATAAAGTATAGCATGATATGTAAAAATATTGTAATTTCTCAATTAATATTAATGTAATTAAAATATCATTTATATCGTCAATGCTTATTTCACCTATATGTTTTGTGAAGAATACATCAATCTATTTTACCAACAATACGTAATTTTCAAAGTGTTAAAAATATAAATAGGATAAATTTCTTTTTTTTGTTTTATTCACAATTCTTTTTCAGTTTGTTTTATCCATAACTCTTACTTTCACACTTATTTTTTCGCCACAAATTCTTACTTTCACACTTATTTTTTTCATTGTAAATTCTTTTATATTAAAAAACATGGCTAGTGAATGAGTTGTTTTGTATAGAAGAGGACAATACAAGGAAAAAAAAAGGTCCATTATAGCCCAAGAAAGTGGAAGCAAAAGAGGACATTCTTTGTCTTCAGACTTATCTCTAAAAGGTAACATATTTATTAGAAATTTTATATATTGTAATTTTGTGTATTGTAAAGCAGGCTATATATAGAATGAAAATGAAGATTTCTGGCTTCACCAATTATCATCACTAGCAGCAGCAGTGATAATAGTATAGATATCGATATCAGTAATGAAAATGATATCCGAGAAGCGCTCTGAGTATGTTTTAACATATGGATATAAGTATTGAGCTTGATAAAAATTTATCAAAAATATAAAAATAAACTAGTTATTATTAATATAAACAGAATAATATTTATATTAATAATAGCTAGTTTATTTTTATGTTTTTGATAAATTTTATTTTAGGCATAGAATTTCTAATCGAATTTTTTTTATTATAATAGACTGATATCCTTTTAGCCATTGATGGTCTAAACAAACAGGATAGACCAGACCCTGCAAAGCAATAGCGCGAATTCAAAGATCGATTCGTTGCGAATTCTCTCTCAATTATTATGCGCAGTATTGAATACCATGTTAGTGAGAATCAAGTGCTTCAAATCATCCAACAATTATATCAATATCAACATGAAATGCACTTGGAAAAACTAAATCCGGAGAGGCGTAAACACAACAAAAAAAGAAGAAGAATTAATACCCGAGCATCACAGGTATATTATTATTAATAACATTATATATATATAAATATTGGTACTATACATCTTACTCTTATTATTATTTTAATAATAATAATATTATTTTAATATTATTCTAACTATTATTTATTATTAATATTATTTATTATTTATATTATTATTACTATTATTTTATTATTTTTATTTTATTTTTACTTAATTCATTTTAATTTATTTTATTAGAAAATGCGAAGATGAAGGAGTAGTTTTAACTATTTAGTAAAAACAAAAAGCTGCTTCTTATACGAAAATTTACCTAAACAAAATCTTGAAAACAAGCAGTTGCTAATATCAAACTGGTATTGAAGATTCGAGATTACCATAATGATGAAATTTCTGATACTGATATCGAGAAGGCCATTAAAGAGCGGTGAGACAGAGATCGGAATAGTGAAAATGACCACAATGACCGAGTGATCAAAGTGCTAGATAAACCCTGGCGATCCTGAAAGGCAAGATCTAAACCTATATAAATATCAGTATTATGCTTATCTCTGAGTAATTATTTTTGATCTCGGACCAACTTTATATATGGTGTAATAACATAAGTACTGTCAAGGGAAATGAGACTTCAGGCTTAAATTTTATTATTGTTATTACTGCCGATATTGCATATATATATTATATCAGAGTTGACAAATGGACCAATTTGACCAATTTGACTAATTTTTTAGCTATTATTAAAATTTAATATTAATATAATTAAAAAATTTTAATAATATATTAAAACATTGGTCAAATTGGTCAAATTGGTCTATTTACCAACTCTGTATATATTGCCGATAGCTAATCTAATAAATGATAAAATCGAAAGCTCAAAGTCTTTTTTTCTTTGGCAACGCCCATATATATAATTTTTTCCTTCAGCAATGCTTGTATATGTATATATAATTTTTTTAAAAAAGAATTTTTTGTTAATTGACTTATAGTTAAAAAATATTTTATAGTTAGCGGAAAAAGTATCTACCATAAAAAGAAATGCAAAAGATATTGGTAGGCAAATGCTCCAGGGTTAGTAGATCATCACACCACTCTACCCTCAGATACACCAGATTGGATGCTATCCAGATCATATCTTAACTATGATGCCTCCACGCCAATAGTGATAGCGACACCTCTAATCCAGATAACCCGGATGACCACACTAACCCGGATGACCCTACTAACCTAGATGACTCCACTAATCCGGATAATCCTACTAACTCGGATGACTCCACTAACTCAGATAAGCCTGCAAATCTGGATACCACTGTCACTGCTAACTCGGATGCCACTGCCACTGCTAACCCAAATGCTACTGCTACTGCTAACCCAGATACCACTACCACTGCTAACCCAGATGCTACTACTAACTCGGATGCTACTGCCACTGCTAAACCAGATACTACTGCTAACCCAGATGTCACTGCTAACCAGGATGCTCTGCTAACTAGAATGACCCTGCTAACTAGGATGCCTCTACTAAACAGGATGACCCCTCTAACCAGGATGCCTCTGCTAACCAGGATGCCCCTGCTAAACAGGATGACACCACTAACCAGGATACTTCTGCTAACCAGGATGCCCCTGCTAACCAGGATGACCCTGCTAACCAGAATGCCTCTGCTAACCAGGATGCCTCTGCTAACTAGGATAACCCCGCTAATAACAATCTGGATGACTCTAATAGTGATAATCCAGATGACCCCGATAGTGATAATCCAGAGAATACCTCTGATGACAACTATAAAGCTATCGCTGAACCTAGTAAACCCCGATATAGTGTATACAATATATGTTCACAATTAAAAAACTTTTCGGGCAGTACAGGTAAAGATAGTAATACTGTTTGTTTAATTATAACTAAATGAAACTAATCCTAGTTTTTGAATTTGACAAAAAGCATGTCAACCGGCTGCCTTTAATAAATTTAGTAATATTAAAAGTATGTCAAAAAAGGTTGATGAAAAAGGTAAATCAAAAGAGGTTGTTGATGAAAAAGGTAAATCAAAAGAGGTTGTTGATGAAAAAGGTAATTCAAAAGAGGTTGTTGATAAAAAAGGTAATTCAAAAGAGGTTGTTGATGAAAAAGATAATTCAAAAGAGGTTGTTGATGAAAAAGGTAATTCAAAAGATGTTGTTGATGAAAAAGGTAATTCAAAGGAAGTAGGTATATGTATCAGACCTAAATTATACTATTAAATTATGTGATCTTAAGCAGCATTAGCTAGCTGATACTAATATATTGGCTGGCTAGGCTGGTTAAATTGCTTTAGCCATGGCTGCTCCAGCTAGTTTATAATACTAATATCGGCTAATTTTTATACTAATATATTAAATTGCAGTTAAATATAGGTAACTAATACAAATTATTATTTATTGTATATATTTTTTTAGTATTAGCAAATCCAACACTCTATCAAAATCCTTCTCTAATATCAGAAGGTGAAACTATATTAAGTCGCCAGGAATCTAATATATCATTAAGTAATTAGATAAAATACATTAATTAGTGCATAATTTAAATCATTAATTTTGTTTTCCATATAGGTAGATCTGATAGTATTAACTATCAAGTTCCCGATGATGAAGTTGAGAAGATACTTGCAAACTCCATAGAATTTCTAAAAATCCTGTTAGAGCCAGAAAAGGTAAAAGAGGAAGAAGTAGAAGAGAAAGTGAAAGTAAAATACTCTGGCCTCCTGGCTTTTTTTTTAAATTTTATATATATAATTTTATAAAATTTAAAAAAAATTTTAAAATTCAACTCAGCCAGATTATATGAAACAATTAATTAAATTTGTATAGTCTTACATATTTGTATTATTGAAAAATATAGTATAAACAATATAAACCTTAATAAATAAATTGTTGTTTAATAAAAGCTATATATACTGTATATTGCTATAATACTATGTATATCAGAAGTTAAAAGTGAATATAATCTTATACTTTGTATATCTATATACAATTTATATGAAGTTGAATATCAGGATAGTAAAAGAAGAGAAAAATGTATATAACTCTTTTACCTTTTGCATACCTTTATTCATCTAGTGTGCTATTGGCATGTAAGTTGAATATCGGGATAATAAAGAAAGAAAAAACATATAGAATTATTTTACCTTTAATATATCTTTATTCATCTAGAGTGCCATTAGCATGTAAGTTGAATATCAGGATAGTATTAGGAAACAAAAGGTATACTATTTTGTGTCCAATATCTATCTTTTAATTTACTATTCTTTTTTCAGAATGTATAAAGGTATATTCTGTTATTTAACTATTATTTATGTATTTGACCTGTGTACAAATGTGTACGTTGAATTTCAGGATAAGAAAAGAAGGAAAAGCTATATATTGTTATATGTTCTGTTATATTCCTATATCTTGTTATGATACTATTAATGTGTAAGCTGAATATCAGGATAATAAAAGAAAGAAAAACTATATATCATTATATGTTCTGTTATATACCTATATCTTGTTATAATACTATTAAT